TTTAGGGCTTTAGGATTTAGGGATTTAGGGTTTAGGATTTAGGGGTTTAGGGTAGTATGCAGCGGCCTAGTGCTGAAGGATGTCGAGTTTATTATTTTGTGGTCCCCGGCGCGCGTTTCGGGTTTTACCGGTGTGAGGCCCAGGGTTGGACGCCGTAGACTCTCTCTTCAACTGAAGACCATGTGGGAGTTTCCGAAAACAAGGGGTACCTTATTTTGGGGTCCTTATAGTAGGGATCCTACTATTTAGGGTACTATATTAGTGTCCCCTATTTTCGGAAACCCCCATGTGTTCGTGGTAATAGTGTCTGTATGGCCACTGTTTTCAGGTTCACATTATCTCCACGATCCTGCCAAGCAGTAGGGTAGGGTGGTCTCCCCTAAACCCGAGACTTTTCCAGTGAAGAGGAGTGTAGTTTGGGGCACTGTAGTATTGTCGCTGGGACCTAAACCCCTAACATTTCTGTGAAAGCCAGAAGCCCAAACGCCTGCACCTGAAACCCCCTAACGCGAAAATCTAAACCTCATAGCCCCAACTCTGAAACCTAACCCTAAACCCTAAACCCTCAAACCTACACCCCTGGACCTTAAACCCCTCTTCTGGTACTCAAGCAAGCCCCGCTTCCGGTACAGGTAGATCCGACCCTCTTCCGCGAAGACGACATGACACGAGTCGAAGGCGCCACTATCAAATCCTAAACCCTAAACCCTAAACCCTAAACCCCAATCCCTAAACCTTAAACCCTAAAAAAAAAACGCTAAACCCTAAACCCCAATCCCTAAACCCTAAACCCTTAAAAAAAACCCTAAACCCTAAACTCCAGACCTTGGGTTCGAAGCCTTAAGCCCTAAACCCTTAGGGCCGCAGACTCCTGCTGGAGTCGTTCCGATGTCGCGCCTTAAGGATGTTTGAGGCTTTAGATTGTTTCGGCTTTTGGGGTTAGAGTTAAGGATTAAGGGTTAAAGGAGGTTTTCCCTCTAATTTCAGGTCAGGTGTTTTGCACTTCTGGGTTGTTTCCGCTGCTCCTCTGTGGGACAGCAACTCGTGTAGGCGGTCTATCTCGGCACACAGCGGGTTGTGTGCCGCTGGAGTATGTGCGAGTTCATATGGCAATGCAGGTGATATCCCTGAATCGCCGCATTTGAGCGTGGGCATTGCTAGTGCCAGTGCTTTACTCCTCTCGCTGTTTCTCAGTATATCTAGGCTGAATCTAGTTCTGCCCAAGCATGCCGACACGTCTAGCTTTACGAGTTATTCTCTGCAGGGTATCCGAATCGATACCCTAAACCCCTAAGCCCTAAACCCTAAACCCCTAAGCCCAAAACCGTAAACCTCTGAACCCCTGAGCCCCTCCGGAAGTCGGCTCTACCCTAAACCCTAAGCCCCTAGACCCCAAACCCTAAATCCCTTAAATCCCCGGTATATATCCTAAACCGTAAGCCCCTAGACCCCAAACCCTAAACCCTAAATCCCCAAATCCTGGATCCTAGACCCTAAAGGGCGGTTGAGAAGCCCGAAAGCACAAGCAGTTGTGAAAGAGATGCCCCAACCCCCCGCCCCCCCTGCCACGAAGTCTTCAGCTCTCAGAATCTGCGGTTTCTTGAAGGGTTTAGGGTTTAGGGTGTAGGGGCTTAGGGCCGTTTAGGGTTTAGGGTGTTTAGGGTTTAGGGTTTAGGGTCTAGGGCTAGGGTTTGGGGTTTTCAGGGTTAGGGCGTAGTTTGGGTGAAGACCCATGCTGGCGAAGTGTGCCACTTCGTTGTTCCGGAGTGTTTTTGCTTAGATCCGCCAATTAGGGTTTAGGGGTTAGGGGCTCGATATTTCGGAACCATGGATGGGGGTTGACGTTTGACGCTAAGACGTTAGCTCAGAATCGTGAAAATTCTGCGTGCCGTCTCAAGGGAGGCAAGAGATAAACCCTGACGTTTTACACAGACTTGACCCGAAGCCTTGCCCCAAACCCTCCTGTAAACCCTAAAGCCCAAGTCGTGTCCAGACAGGTGACGGGCTGATTCGTCGAGTGCGAAATACGTCGAGGCCCCAGACTGGAAGCAGGACCGCACCCATCAAGCTGAACACCCTATGCCTATGCTCCAAGTCCTGTACCCCAAACCTTAAACCATAAGACCACGCCTGCTTTACAGCTGAGTTACGTGCATCCCTTCTTTTGCGCTCGCCTTCGCAGCTTTTGGGGTTGACGGGTTTACGGACACTCCTCCGTAAAAGGGCTCCAGATGGTCCTTGGTTTAGGGTTCAGGGTTTAGGGTTTAGGGTTTAGGGTGGTTTAGGGTTTAGGGTTTAGGATTTAGGGTTCAGGGTTTAGGGTTTAGGGTTTAGGGTTTAGGGTTTAGGGTGTGCTGGAAGCTGAGGCTGCGGCAGAGGTATGGCTATCCTGCCGGCAACCGAAAGAAGAAGAAGCGTCTCGGTTGCAGATCGATGTTCATGAACATAAAGAAGCCCTTAAGTCCTGAAGCGATACACCCTAAACCCTGAAACCCCTAAATCCTCAAACCCTTACGCCCTAAACCCTAATTAACAACTTTGGCCTGGGATCTTCCTTTAGAAACAGATCTGGCAGCCGTAGAAAGCCAGAGTTTTGGAGCTGTGGCCTGCATTCCTGAAGGCTTGAGGCATAAGGGTTCGATGTAGGAGCCTTATGCCTTTGAATACAGAAAGAGATTCTGGCTTGCTGTTCTGGAGGCCCCTGGCGGGCCGCAACGCTTTTCATCCGGACTATTGTAGGGTCGGAGGCTATCGTATAGTACCCCTTAGAAACCTCGATGGACTTGTTTTTTTTTTTTATAAGGGGTTCATATTAGAAACCTATAGACCTGGCAGCCTGGCTGGCTATCTCTCCTCTCTGTGTCTCCTTTACGTTGCCTGTCTCTGTCTCTCCTCTTCCACGGCGTCAGTTTGTAGTAGCAGTGTCTATTTCCCTATTTCCCTAAACTTTGAAACAAAAGAAGGCGGGACGGAAATTTACGATTACTGAGGGGAGTTTGTGATGTTTATTATTACGTGCAGACCGAGTTTAGCTTTATTGAGGAGACCTTTTAGTCATCACAAGGTCACACTAAACCCGGAAAGTCTAAACCCCCGAAGCCCTAAACCCCACATCCCTAAACCTTAAAACCTATTACAACCCGAACTCCCTAAACTTTAGACCCAAATAACCCTATAATCCTAAAACCCTAATGCCCTAAACCCTAAA